ACCCAACTTGAGTTCAATGAAGAAATTGTACGCATAAAAATACATCTTCCATCTTCACCATCGCAAATGTCTGGCGTTCGCGGGGAGTGGGAAGTGAGAAGTGAGAAGCGTCTGCATTTAAACCATTACTTGCTGGCAATTGCAGACACACACACACACACACAAGCACACACAAAACCCAAAGACATACAGACGTAGTGCTGAGCGGATATTACAAATGTTACGAAAGCCAAATTGCTGGGTAAAAATTTCCTAGTCGCAGATTTTCGCAATGTCGCTTGTCGTGGGAAATTCATCGGAAAATATTGTGGAAAAGTTTAAAGTAGAATATTTTGTTTTTTGTTTTTGGTATTCTGTGTGATAATGAATGTAAGTAAATTAGGTAAAGTAGATATTTTAATATTTATAAATGTGTATGGGAAATTATTAAGAAAATTCTTAGGTTTGTTTAAGAAATTTTGGTTTCCTAGAGACGAAATTATAATTTACCTTTTTTTTTTTTTTTGGTCAATTTTGGTTCCTATTTTTAAGAGTCGTAATTTCTATCAAAACTTTTTATTATTTGATTTAAACTAATTAGTTTCAGATAGCAAGAATTTTTAAATTAATAATAAATCATATATATAACATAGGATCATATATATATATATATTAATAAATTTTTTACTATTATTTTTGATGGTTTTGGCTTTATGGTCAGCCAAAAATTCTATTAAAAATAATAATAATAAAAGTTTGTTGTTGTAATTTCACTACTGTTCGATAAAACTTTCTCCTTCGAAAACAGTACTTTATATAAAAAATTTAGTTTCTTTTGTCAAAACAAAAGTTAAAAATTTATATAATATATTAATAAATGAAATAATCAACATTTTATTAAAAAAAATAATTAATATGATTACTAAAAAATATATATAAAATATGTTATATAATATATATATAAAAATATGTACATTAAATAATAAAATAGTTTCAATGGTCTTTTCGGAAATTTCCTTTCAGTCTTTAAAGTTTGATTGCCTCCTCCATCATTTATTATATCTTTAACTAAAGTTCTGTGATTATGAGTAGTGAATTTGCAAGAAAATACAATACTTTTTTTCTGAATAGACTATATTAATATATACTTCTATTATTATAGTTTTCATATATACTTTTCTGGAATATACTAGAATGAAATTCTTTGATCGTGACAAGGTAATTTAGAAAGCATATACTATTCTAAGATACTCTAGAATGTGATTCTTTATTTGTGACTTAGAAATTCATTATAGGTGGCAAAATAATGCAACAAAGAGAAAGCATATATCTGGCGGATAGGTCACTCCATCATTTTTATTCACTGAAGTTTTATACATTGCATATATGTATGTAGTAAATTTAAGGTAAAAAGCCTCTTGCATGATTTTTCATTCGTTGTATTCGCCAAAGTTAACTCATAGGAAGTAAGTGCCGTAACAATTAATTTCCATTGAAAGCTAAGCCAATCCATAAATTTCATTCCAACATTCCTCTATGTGTTGTGTCAACATCCAAGTTTACTTCTTTCTTAGAGATTGTAATATATTATATTTTATGATGTGATCGTGGCATTATTTTGGGTCATTATTTGCTGGGTAATTGGGCGTTGCTTAATTCTAAACCATAGCTCATGTGAAACCACGAAGAGAGCAGTTGGCGAAGCCTTGCAGACGTTGAGCACTTTTTTCAGTTATATTCCAGTATTCACGACTGTATAAAATGAGGTTTTAACGTATCTGTTTGAAAAATCTTAGTTTTGCACTTCTATGGTTTTGGTTTTCTTCCATGACAGCACAGCAAATATCCTTTCATTTCTTGTATTTAGCGATTATTTGACATTATAATATATTTCTTTCAAAAATTTATAAAAATAAAGTCTAGATAGATTCTCTTAAATTTAGGAAATTAAGGAGGTTTCACCTTTTCCGATGGAGATTCCGACAAACCACCAAAGATGCACTTTTTCATAAAAGCGATTTCTTCTAGAAGACAAACCTGAGCAGTCACTTAATAATAAGTATGTTTATTCTTATCGATTTTATTTTGGATATGTTTACTACAAGTTCCATGCTCTATGTGGGACTACCAGAAATTGAATATATGTTATCTGCGCAATCCAAGTTCCTAAGTTTGCTGTGTGAACAGACCTTCCGCTAATTGGTTTTATGTTAACGATATATATAGCTCTGTCGTACTTCTATGGCGATTTGTGTGCTGTTGTACTCCATGCGAAAAACGAAAGTGTTCCGAAGAATATCCTCATATTCAACCGGTGTTTATATGGTGTCATGAAATGTCGTTTGTGAGTCAAATGCTTTCAGAAAGGCAGTGAAGATATAGAAGAAATAGAAGGCACTTATCAAAGGTTATTCAAAAATAGTTTTCAAAATGGTTTCTGCATAATTCATGAGATCTTAATCATGTTTGCACTATGCATTGATTAACCTCGAAGATATCAACGATTATGATAATTTTTGGATATTATTTTATTTACAATGTTTAGCTAGTGATATCTTTTCTGTACTTGAAGGCCATGATATTGCATTTTTTTTAGATTCATTCCGGTGTCATTTTTAGAGTTGTCAATTCATCAAGTCAATTCATCAAGAAACGACATCTGATATCCACTGGAGTGACAACTTAATTCGGTTCTCCAGAGCGTTACATATTTGAGTGTTTATATGGTCACATTTGAACTCCATCCACTAACAAATATTTGATTTCTGGGTTACACAAAGCCACATTTAAATTACTCTTTAAACCATTGTTGGTTTTTTAACTTATTTTTATCTTCAAAATCAATACTAAATAATACTTGCCTTGTACTAAATCAATACAATAAATATCCTCTAATTTTTTCGCAAATGTCAAAATAACTTTTTCTTCTTCTTACTATTCTTTTTAAACACTTTTAATCCTATTCTATAGTCGATATTCTATAGTCCCAGTCTATAACGGTATAAATAAATATCGTTGGTACTCACTCACTCACGAATGTCATTTTCTATTTTGGGATCCTTTATCCCATACTCTATCCAAAACTCAACTCACTTAGTGACTAAAGACTTACCTTTGAAATTTGTCTGCTTATCGATCCGATCAATGTTGATGCTACTCTTTGACATCAACTTCTCGGCCAGCAGTGGATTGGCAGCTATAAGATATCGCGTCGAACTAACATGAGGATTAATCTCGTTGTTGATGTAGTTTACGGCAGTATTTAAATTGCATTGTTGTTGTTGTTGTTGTAAATGATTTGGTTTATTAGTTAAGTTTTCACATAAAGGCAGTGAGGAGAGTGCCAGCGATGTTGATTCTGTTGAACCAATATTGCCGGCTGCATTGAGTGTAGCATTTTCAAGCGATAAAACCTCATCATCCAGTGAGGTTGTGCTGCCACCAGGTACATAGTTTTCATTTTGTTCATTGACAATAAGCTCATTGTTGTTATTTTCCTCCTAAAGTTACAAAAAAAAAATAAATTATAAGTAATATGATTTCTAATTGTAGAAATAATAATAATAATTGTTTACCTTAACTTCGACAGTAGCTAAATCTGAGAGCAAACTTTCGATTTCGAAGTTGCTTTCGGATAGTTGACGAAATAATTCTTCAGATGATACATTACAAAGTGGTTCCAAAGAATTCAGTTCAGTAGTTTCAACGCTCAGCGGGTTTGTTTCAATAACATTTTCATTTTTACCGGGAGTTTCATCCTATGGAAAAGGGGGGCCATTAAGATTTTTATATGGAATTTATTAAGTTTTTTGTTTAAAGAATTTATTTTTAAGTAATTTTGTTCAATGGTATGCAGTTTTATGATTACTTTTATTATGATTTCCTTTAGTTGAGTTTTTTTAATTTTATTTATAATTAAAATAAGTGCAGAAAATTATTAAAAGTTAAAAGTTTTGTTTATTTATTTAGAAATCTTCAAGGAAGATACTCTTTCCTTTATGGAGAGGCGCGTATTGATATAGGAAATATTCCGCACTTCATCTCCCAGCTCAAAAAAAAAAAATGTAAGTATTTTGTCTAAATTTACCAGGAATTTCTGCCATTATTCACAAAATCACCCAAAAATATGCAACAAAATTAATTAAGTTTCGAAGCAAAGTGCATTGCAAAGCTTTTTCAAAAATTTAAAATATATAAACTATGTAAAAATTATAGCATACTTTTATGCGTACCTGCATACAGGTAGCAATGTCTAACCCAACCACCATGGATCCATCGTTATCCGGACACCTAACGTCGCATTTGTAACATGAAATTATAAAGAGTACAGAATTGATTAATAATTAAATAAATTAATTAATAATTAAATGATATTTAATTGCATTCAACATACCAAAGAAGAGCGTCATCGATAAATGGCATTGCCAAAAGCTCTGCCACTGTTGCAATTAAAGCTTTTCGTCTGTGGTCACGCTGTAGTGGAATTAAAAGCTTCTCTGTTGCTGCTGTTGTGTTATTAAATAAAATGTATTTGTTTTTATCTAATCTATTACGTTAGGTTGGTGTATTGTATAAAAAAAGCACAAGTGAAGACGTAGTAATTAAACTTGTGCTTAAATCAACGATAAAAATATGATAAACGTTTACGATATTACGAAGTTACGATATAACGAGTCAGTTTCGTTTGCAGCAATTTTAAAGCACTGATTTCATATATTAAAATTATTTTACGATTAAATATTATTATTTTTATATATATTATTTATTTAATTTTAGATTATTTATATTTGCTGTTGTACATATACCGAATATTGTAGGCACTTATATGACGACGGAATTTAATTACTGTTTTTTTTTCTATAAAATTTATATAATAAAAACAAATAAAATTGTTAACAGTGTTAAAAAGGCGTGGTTAAGCTAGTTTCGTTTTAAAATTTAACTGTACAATTTTTTGATGCTTACAAAGCAATTTTAAAATATTTTTTTTTATTTTATTTTATTTTTATTTTTTTTTTGTAAATATACGAAGGATTTTTTAAATATAAATTCTTTATTTAGTAGAAAATTTGATTTTCTTGTTTTTAATTTTTAGTCAAATTTGAGAATACTTAAGTCCAAAATGTTACCCGCCGTGATAAATGTGTTATGGGCCTGAAAATAAAATTTAATAATAAATAAATATATTAGTTTTATATATAAAAATTTAATTGATTTCATTACTAAATTATAAAATAATAGACAAGGTGTACTTTAAATATAATTTTAATTTATAATAATAATAAATTAAGTTCCTCTATTATTATTTATAATATGTAATAATATTAGATGAACTTTCATTTTATGAATGATTTTTTTTTAATATACTCTTATATATATATCAACTGAGACAGAAATCAGCCAGGATCTGCATTTTGACATCCTACAGGCTGACGCATTATATTTTTTTGATTTGCTTCACACCATAAACCACAAGTACTATTAACTTTTAGACTTCTAAGTCAATGAAACTTAAGTCAATTGTCCTATATTTCTATTTTACAACCTATACGACTACGATACAAAACGTAAAGTTTATAAAAAACAATACTTAACTATAATCTTTTCTTCATCTCCTTCACAAGCCGCAATCTTCTCTCTATCTTACTTATTCTCCTTGCTCTCTGACTTTGATCAATTTGGCTTGCCTTGATAAATTTTAAATATATTTATATTTGCTATTTGCCCTTAATAGGACCCCAGTTATCGGTCTTTAAAAACCGCTGGCTGAAATCTCTGCAAATATCATTTTTTGATTGAAGTTTCAAATGAAGATTTAAACTGCCTTCTTACTTAGTAAGTAATAATAAGTGCCTTCTTTTTTGTTGACAAATTCTTTTCTCTGGTTTTCTGATTTTTCTACTGGTCTTTCTTCTTCTTTGGTTGATGAAACGCGAGTTTTACAGCTCAAAGTACTTTTACTCAAAAGGGTCGGTGATCACTTGATCACTATAACCGACTGTAACTACTGTTCCATTGAAATATGATAATAAACTACTGAGTTAAATTTATAGAAGTATATGGTACTTTGAAGCCCAGCAAATATTCCCGACGAAATATATATTGAATTTGTTTGTTGTTAAAAGAGTGCAATTCTGAATTGGTATGAGCATCCATAAAATCGAATAATTTCAGCACTATGTCTTTATACACTTACGATTCTCAAATCCTCATGTATATCTTCACTTTAGATGTATTATACTGTTTTTAGCTTAGGTCTGAATAAAATATTCTATTAACTTCTAATTATGGACTTGATAACAACTATAAAGTCGTATGGGTCTACTGATATAGTAATTACAATAGATTAAAGAGGGAAACCTTATAAATTTTAATGAAATATCAGCTTTCACAAAGCATGCTTAAAGTCTTATAAAAACAATTGGTGAACAAACCAAAAATTGGAATATGTAAAGACCATTTATATAGTCTGATCGTCTAAAGAGCATGTTGAGCTTGATTGTTGTTTATTGGACTCATAAGACGTCCGAGATAATAGACAATAGGCCTTAATAAAGTCCTAGTATCATCGTAATGGGTCAACTAAAACTGCATAATGGCCGTTCTGATCTGCTAAATAAATATTTCTATTTTCCTTTTTGTTAACTTAAAACTTACCCAACCTAATACACACCTCAATATTGAGTTCTGTTGAACTATACATGGCCAAATATTAATAGCAGATTCCAAGAACTGCCGGGTCTAGGCTCCGGAACCTTTTGTCAATCTCGACGACCAAGTTCCGTTCATTACCTTCAAAGGGATTTTAAAAGCAGTTCCCCATGGGTTACAACTACAACATAAATATAAACAGCAAATTATGGCAACTAAAATCGTCGTTGTTTTTCGTGGAATGAATACATATTGTATTAAAACCACCGATATAAACAAATTAATAATGGCTGACTTATATCCAATTATGTACCAAATGCATGACTTCATGTAATTATTATATATATAATAGTCCATATGGGATACAATATAATAAGAAATAAGAGAATTTAAAAAAATCTTAAAATGCAATTAAAACATTAAACTACACTGCTTTCTCTGACTTGAATGTGAGAATAATCTAAGGATACGCACTTCTATATTGGGTAGTAGAAAGGAAGAAAGTTTAGGAAGAAGACAAAACGGAATATACTGGAAGTACTTTAAAAAGATTAACGTATTCAATTAGAGAGTTGGGATGAGAAATTGTTACTGCAACAATGGTTCATTAAGGATTCTAGATAAACAAGTCAAAAAGAAATGGGTCTGTTAGGAAACTATAGATCAACGCCCATTTTATTTCAACTTACTGTATATAAATAAGGTCACTGCGATGATTTATATGCGATCAGTGTAAATAAAAATGAGTATTAAAAATCATTTCATATTCGTTTAAATAAAAATCAAAAGCATCGTATAAGAATTTACTGATTTTGTCTGAAAGAAGTATGTTGTTGATATCAGTGATACCCGTTGGTTAGATTGTTAAATGGAACGCATGAATATAATGTATAAAAATTATTCCACGATATTATGATTCCACGAAAAGTTGACTATGGGATCAAAATTCGTAAAACAATGCCTTCAAAACAACAGAATTGATAAGACGACTGTTAAGGGGTCATCTGATAAGTTTTGAAGTATAAGTAAAACTGTTGAAAATAAATAGATTTATACCACACGACTTCTTGATTACATAGATCTTGTCCTAAAGGATATTCTATAATCACGCAAGATAAAGAGATCTTTTCTCACCTTTTGCAACTGCATATATTCCAGCGCCCAGTCATCGTTCCATTTATGGTATATACTAATGTGCATGAATAGTGAAATATTGTAAAATTTTTGGAAAATACTTTAAATAATATTATCATTACTAATTGAGTAATTGAGCCTATTTTTTTTTATTATTACTTTTTATTTTTGTTATGAATCCAACAATACAGAAACTTCTCGAGAAGTAAGCTATATAGCGTAGTGGAGCAAATTGCTCAAAATAAGCAAGTTTCTTTATATCTGGTAATAAATCGGGACACTGAAGAAATAGGAAACTTCCCTACTTTTCCATATCAATTGAAAATATGTTATTTTATAATATAGAGCTGTATTTATTATTTTACTTATAATAAACTATAGTAGAGTTGGTGTCACGGAAAATATTTTAAAATCTACTGCCTTGTACGAAATATAAATTGTGAAATTGCATGGCTAGCAATATCTTTTAAATAAACTTAGTGGAATGATCGGAAAGATCGGAACACCTGTTATGTTGATATGAAGTCAGACTACGTCTGCCATGTCAAATCTTTTATAGTTTTGACTTGACAGGCCTGCTAAAAAAGTACTTATAATTATTAATCCTTATTATTTGACAGAAAATAAAAGAATAAAATTCCTAGATATCGGAAGTTTAGAAGATAATATCGGTGCTAACAATATACTGTACTATAGAGCGATATGGTTTCAAGTTGTGTCTACCTTATCAAATATTTTTTTTACCAGCGTTCGATGCAGAATTGCAGAAACAACTGTTGTGTCTATGTCCAGACTTATCTAACACCTGATTGAGGTTTTTGGGAATCTCGTTCTTTAATTCAATCACCAATATTTCCAGCATTGGTACTGCTCAGATATTTGCATTTATTAATGGGTCCGGATAATTCTCATATGCTCAACTTTCTATCCACAATTACGACGAATGTGAAATCGTCGCTTTTACGGCTTTTTTAGTTAATTACGGTTTTCTTAGACAATTGTTGGACTTGATGCTCCTTCCACTTCACCTACCTACATAGCAGAGCTCGGTAGCAAATCTCATCTTGGTCAATAATTAAAAAATATTAATTTAAAGAAATTTATTGTTAGAGGATCGTTGGACCATTAATTATGTTTAGACAAAAATCAATAAAATTAATTCAATTTTATTCCCTTTTACAACTTTTACTGTTTAACCTAATACAGTTTATATAATTTATATTTTTCTTAATTTAATTTCCCCCAACAAAAATATAACCTCTAATAATAGTTCACATGAAAGTGTTGCTCACTTTACTCGAACTTGTTTTTCTTCACAGTTCCCAGTTCAATCGCAGTCTTTATTCTTAGGCCATCAAAGTCTCGGACTTCCAACATCTTAATTGAGTGGACAAACATGAATTCGTTAACTTCATCGTTCCTAATTCATTCATTCAACTTGCCTCCGCGACATGGTCGATTGGTACAACAATTTTAAGGAAACAACAAACACAACAACACGACGCAGAACAGCAACAACAACAAGAAGAAATAAACAAGACCTCTAAAGGAGATTTGAAATGGTTCATTAATTTTGAAGTCTGAGTTTTGAGCATTTATGTAATATGTAATTGAAGTAATTGCTGCAATAGCAATAAAATTTTCCAATTTTTTTTTATTTTGCGGAACGGCAGTGAATGGAAAATGGAAAAATTTGAAAAGGAAAGCGAATGCACAAATTTACAAGTTCAACCTGAGCAGTGACTGTCGCTGTGGCTGTGGTTGTGTTTTGGCCGCGATGGCGATGGCGGTGGTGATGGCGATGGCGAGTGTTAATGCAAAATAAAAGAAAAGAAAAGAAAAGCAATTATTATAAGAAAAGCGCATCTCCAACATATTTTATGAGTTCAAAAACTTCACAAGTGCAAAATACGAATTAAGTAATATCTCCTCTTTAAGCCGCAATACCCACTTAAATTTATGCAATCAGATACTTCTGCTCAGGGCTGCCCGTTAATGCTTAACAGCACTACGAAAACATAATAATAATAACAATAATAAAAATAAAAATAAAAATAATAATAATAGTTATAATTATGTTAATGATAATTATAATTCCCATATCAGTTACCGTTTTAAGCAAATCATTTTTTTTGCTTTTTTGTTTATTATATGCAGATGCACAGATCGTAATTAATTCAATTTATCTCAGCCATTTGATCTCATGAAATTTGTTACACTTTTCCCCCTCCCCTCCTTTTCGCGTGAATGCCCAGCCAGTGTGCGATTATTTTTCGTTATTAATAAGCGGCTTTGTTATTGTTTATACCAATATGAAATGGAAAATACGTACGAATAAATAAATAAATTGTATAAAATAAAATGAAAATTAAAAGAAAATTCAAATCCCTGTTTTCCGGGAATCTTAAAGTTCAATAACTTTCAACCAAATTACAATTATCGTTCAAAGATACTCGCTCGCTCGCTCGCCTATACCATGGATGCGCAATCACTGCGCAATCCACTGAGCTACCACAAGCACTACCCATTCACACTGCATTCAATTCATTGTGTGTACATGCGCGTGCATGTGTGTGTGTGTGTGTGTTTGTGTGTATTTTGCTTACGATACACCACAGCCAAATACACAACTAAATTACACGAACCAAACCGAATCGTACCGAACCAAACCGAATAGCAAGAAAACTAAAGGAAAACTAAAGTGCGGCTTGTGCCGCTGCACTGCGCTGCGTCTATTGCTGCTACATTAAAAACTAGATAAACCAAGGAAAACATTTTACATAACATGTTATTGAACTATGAAAATAAAAACAACAACTGCTTTAAATTTGTTGCAATTTTCTTGTTGCCACTATTGTTGTTGCCATTGTTGTTGTTGTTGCATTTTTCATTTTAACTTGTATTATTTTACAATGTATATAATATGTTTTTCTTTTTTTTCTTTCTCTTAACTCTTATTTACATGCACACATAATGTTGTTGTTGCAATTTCAGTTAACCAAGCAGCGCCAAATTCATTATAAGTGAAAGTCAGTTTGTTGCTGCAGTTCGTTAACATTGAACTACGTGAGTGCGGAATAAAACAACAAAAAAAAAAAAAAAATAAAAACAAAAAATAAAATAACATTAACATTAACCGAAGAAAAACAATGCACAATCTAACAACAACAACAACAACAATAACACTAACAACATCAATACTCAAACAAATCGAACGACCGATAGACAAACTAATAGACAGACACCCAGCCACAAAAGCTAATACAACTAAACAAGCAAGCAAGCAAGCGAGCAACCGAGCGAGCGAGCAACAAGCAAACAACCAGACAAACAGATAGACGCATCGGCAATGCTGCTGCTGCCTTGCATTGCCATGTGCAGGCAGTGGTGGTTTTTCCACCAAAACTTGCAAATTTTACAGCTAAGCTTCGCTTGCATTGCCTTGTACCGCGCATATTCATGATCACAACAGCGGCAGCAGCAGTAAAATTTGCCGGTGGGGAACAAGTTTTGTGTGTGCCATGCTGTCATGTTGCCTGCTACTGTTATTGTTGTTGTTATTGTTGTTGTAAATGTTTTTCTAGTTATGCATTTTTTTGTAAATGTTATTTAATACTGTTTTTTTTATTAAATTTTATTTTGATATTTTGTATACATTTTTTTCAGTTAGTTTACAAAAACAAATGTGTGAAAAAAAAACAAGTTTGATTTCTGGCTTAGAAATAAAAAAACAACAAATACACGCATGCGTGTGTCTATGCAAAGCAATGCAGCATAAATGCCACTGAATAACAAATTCATTGAATTTGCTTTCGTTACAGCGAATTAACAGAATTAAAGCAATAAAAATAACAACAACAAATATGCTTAGCAGAACTTTTACAAAAACAATTCTGCAAGACAATTGTAGAACGCAACAACACACAGCACAGCACAGCATTGTGTACTGTGGATTGTATATTCCGTTCAGTCCGTGTATTCGGTGTATTCCGTGTAGAACAAATGTAATGAGAGTGAAAGACTTTAGAAAAGGAAAACGATAGGAAAACGAATGTTGGAAAATTTGTTAACAGAACAAATGTGGAAAATAGAAAATGAAATTATGAAAACAAAAACAAAAACAATAACAAAAAAAGAAAAATTAAAAGAATAAAAAAATTTCAATTAAATATTAAAGCATAAATGAAGAGAAATTGTAATTTGATTATGGAAGTTTTTATGAATCGCGTGCAACATACGTAATTGCCAGCAGTGAATAACTGAGATCTAACGATTGAAAGTACGAGTGCTCTTTACTAAGTTCGTTATTTTAAGTAAGGTTAGGTTAATCTGGCTGGCAGT